TACGTATACGTATAGGTATAGGTATATGTATATGTATATGTATATGTATATGTATATGTAAATTATGTGTGTGTATATATATATACACAACAAATGAGCCCTTACAGAATGTCTAGGGCCCAAAGCCCTACATCAAACACCCCGGATATTCGCTCGAATTGTAGGCAAAGATCAGGGTTGCAGGCTCAGCTATCCATTCTGGGGCTGGCTCAGGTTCTCAGGACAGGGCTGAAACGGTGCAGGGCTCAGGCTCCGGGTTTTGGGTATAGGGTGTAGGGGGTTTAGGGTTTAGGGTTTAGGGTTGGCATGGGTTGGCCCTCCCTTTGAAGGTCTGCACGCTTCAGCGACTGGAAGAGCAAGCCGCACGCGCGGAGCACTTCCTGTGTAGGCTTGTTAGGGTCGTGTGGCACGAAGACTCAAGCTGTCATGGCATTTTTCGTTTCTTACATGTCTCTTGGATCTCGGTCCTATCGGAATGGAGGTATGGAAAATGTTGGTGCCTTCAGACTTCGTGACTACTCCATACGTCATAGCTCACAGAGCCATGATAGGCCCACAGTTGTGCCAGAGACGGGGCCTTGTTGAACATGATGCCGGGTTCTTCTTTTCGGCCGCAGGCGAAGCATGTTGACTAATATAGGGGCCTGAGTATATGATGATGTGGGGTTCCCCTGACTTGACATATGAGTTTCGGCTTTGGCTGGGTTCGTGCATCGAACTCAGCAATATGCGCGCCACTCGGAGCTTTCTTGGGCTTGGCTTGATGGATTTAAGGTTTACTTCTCGGGGTCGTGAGTTTTGGTGTTCGGCGCTTCGGCAACCCATCGTCCCTGTTTGATGTTTAGGTTCAGGGTGTGGGAGAAAGTTTTTTTGTTTTTTTTTCAGTTCTTAGGTCTTATAAGTACATTAGAAGAAAGTTGTCGGTTCCAGGTGATGAGCCACAGCTCATGAACCGGTGTGCCAGGGTGCATCTATCTTCCTCTATGTCTATGCTTACAACCGTTCGCTGCAATAGCCGGAAATTTTGGGGAATGCCGCAGCCCTCCGCCCGAAAGTCGGCCTCGAGTTACACCCTAAACCCTAAACCCCAAACCCTAAACCCTAAACCCCAAACCCTAAACCCCTAAACCCTAAACCCTAAACCCCTAAACCCTAAACTTCGAGTTGACAAGACCTTAAGCCGCTGTCCATCTGGGAGCCTTCTTCGATGTAGACCCCTTCCCTTTCCAGGGGATTCTAGCCGGGATTCCCAAACTACGGTCCGTAAAGACAAGGTACTCTCGCCTGATTTAGCCTCTTGAGCTGGTAGAGTTTAGGGTTTTGGGTTTAGGGTTTATAATTTAGGGTTTAATGTTTGCTAAAGGCGAGAAAACGGCTGAACCCTACATTGCTGAACCTTGTGGGTGCAGCAGGCCGTCCGTGCGGCTCGGCGTCTAGCGTCGCCGCACCACGGGCAGAATTATTTTGTGGCTGAAAATTAGCTGTACGACGGTCAGGTTGTAGTACTGGATTTGGAGTTCCAATGTTTCGGCGCATTACTCCTTCAAGCCCAACTTCGTGCTGGCCGAACATACCCCACTGCCTTCTGTGAGTTTCCATCAGCCCCTCTTTGCATTGACGGTAGGGGTCAGGGCCGAGGATCCCGAAGCAGTGAATGTTGACCTTAGACTAAACCTGCACATCTTTGGCCTTCTTAGTTTCTGGTTTAGGGAGGCCGTCGATCGTTTGGTTCCTATCTTCTTACCTCAGGGCGCAGGTTCCGAGTGACGGAAGAACGGCCTCTGGTATTCATTCCTCGGACCTGCGGTGCTGTGTCCGAGTTCAGCTTTCCGAATTGCAGACTTCCTTTGAGAGCTTCAGGAAAGAGGCGACCCCAATCTTAAATCAAAGCTAGTCGGGTCCTTGTCATAAACCCCAACCCACCTAGAACCCTGAATAGACTCTGCAACCCTAAAGCCATCGTTGGTTTAGGGTTTCAATTGTTTAAGAGCGCGTATTTTGGCAGCTTCACCTCAAAGCAGAAGCCTTCCATTTTTGGGCCGCATGCTCGACAAGAGCAACTTTAACTTGTGCCAGACAGCAGCTGCAGCTGCAGCAGCCGCCGCTGTGGCTCGTGACGGTCGACCATGGTGGGAAAGGCCGTCGAATCCGGGGCATACTACTGTTGATGATCAATGATGATATAAATCCTGCATTATGTTAGGGACCCTAAACTATGGGATTTATGGTATATTCCTTATTATGGGTAATGCAGGATTTATGTCATCAACCGTACGTCTGGGTCTGAGAGTATTCAGAGCGTCTCAAGTCTAAACCGTATTGAAGCGAGCCCGGCATGTGGACATTGTCATTGTGGGGGTTGCGGGTTGTCCATGTACAAAGCTTCTTAGGTTGGCTTCGCGGGTCTTATCATAGCAGCTGGTGTATTTCCAGCCGGCTTCTTTTCTCCATGCAAAACTGGCAGCGACTTATCAACTTGACTCTGGCTACATATGTGTGTATGCATGTGTGTCCATCTATAACATACACACATACATACACGCGTACATACATACATACATACATACATACATACATTCACTCATTCACTCATTCACTCATTTCGGGCACAGAGTCTGTTCGACGCAGCCCCTTGGCTTGCATCTAATTAAAGGCTGGAGGGGGAAAACCAGCGTACGGTCAGTATGCTCTAGCCGCAATTTATATTTGGCTGAGCAGAAATC